TTGACTTCTAGATCTTACAGTCTTTCTGGCACCCTCTTCTACAGTGTTCCCTGAACCGTGAGAGGAGGAGGAGTTGTAAGGTTGTGAAGTAGGCATCCCAAACACTTTCACATATGGAAAACTCTGAGGTTTCTTAATTTTGAACACACAAAGTAAAAAAGAAGTTCTATAGGTTAAGGGAAAACCCTTTCTTAGGCAGTTGGTTATGAATAAAAAGGAAGATGTTCTCCCTGGACTTTTTCTCTTTCATTGTGTTGGGATCATCACAGGATGGAGTCTCCAAGAAGTTGTGCTTTGCCCTAAGAATTCATTTCCCCTGAACTCAGTGCAACACAGCTTTCCCTGTGCTGATGTCTTTAAGAGTTATAATTGCACTTTGGCTGCCCATCCCACAATGAGGAATGCTCTCTCAGCCTGAACTCTTGGGGGAGGATTTAAGCCCTGCCCTGGGTGAAATGATAGACTCTAGAGATCCTACATGGAAGGCCTCACCCTTCCTGGGGATCAGAGTGGAGATTAGGTTGTAGGTTGGAGGGCATGGTGGGGGTGGGAAGCAAGAAAGTTTTTAACTTAAATTTAAAAAAGGAAGAAAAAGAGTGTCACAATTGCTCTCTCAGCACTAGCCTGAATACTTCCTGTTTTTAAAACTTCTTTATTTCTGTGCATGGTGTTTAACCTACATGTATGCCTGTACAGTACTTGTGTGCCTGGTGCCCATGGAGGCACTGGATCCTCTAGAACTGAATTTATAGATTTTTGTGAGCAAGTATGTGGGTGCTAGAAATTGAATGCTGATGCTCTGGAAGTGCAGTCAGTTCTGTGAACCACTGAGCCCTCTCTCCAGCCTATGCTTGCCTGTCTTGAATTGTCCTCTGCAAAATAAACTGCTCATTATCTTTAAATTTAGCTTCATTCAGGCTAAAGAGTATGGAGAGAATGAAGGCAGTTTCTCTGCCAAAATATCATGATATCTTTCCTTTGAAACCTCATGAGATGGCCAAGGAATCACTTAGGTTCCTGACAGCAACTGCCACACTTCTCCAGTACATTGTGTCTTAGTTTCTTTTTCTATTGCTTTAATAGAAAGCCTCTCCATTTGGATTTAAGTTTCCTGCATGGTGATAGACATGGATCTATCTGCAGTCTTCTACAGGTCAGCCTCCAGTTATGTCAGCACCATTTGTTGAAAATGCTTTCTTTATTCCATTGTATAATTTTAGCTTCTTTGTGAAACATCAGGTTCATAGCAGCATTATTTGTAATAGCCAGAACCTGAAAGAAACCTAGGTGCCCCTCAGCTGAAGAGTGGATAGAGAAAATGTGGTACATTTACACAATGGAGTACTCCTCAGAGGAAAAATACAATGAAATCTTGAAATGTGCAGGCAAATGGATGGCACTAGAAGAAACCTTCCTGAGCGAGGTAACCCAGTCACAAAAAGAGAAACATGGCATGTACTCTCTCATATATGGATTTTAGACATAGATCTGAGAAGTTGCCAGCCTACAATCCCACTGGCCAGAGAGTATGGGAACAGAACCTTCATTCAGTGGCTGATGGAAGCAGAGGCAGACTCCCATGGACTAAGCATTGAGCTGAACTCAAGAAATTCAGTGACAGAGAGGGAGGACATGATGAACAAAGGCAGTTAAGACTGGGCTGGCCTAACCCCCAGAAACAGCTGACCTGAACAAGGGATAGCTCTTGAATCCCAGACTGATGGCTGGGATTCCAGCATAGGACTGACCAAGACCTCCTGAACGTGGGTGTCAGTGAGGAGGCCTAGGTAATTTATTGAGCCTTGGGTACTAGATCAGT